ATGTTATGGAATTGTCCAGAATTCTTATCCGACTTACAGTGCATTGCAATTTAATCATTTGTTTGTGAGAAGAAGACATTTGTCGTTTCTGAGAGGTCTCTGATTTTCGCAATTTTGCCCCCGTGGTGTATAATCTGTCGCCATTTTTACGTACTTCCCCTATACCTGCCAAGCAAATATTGAATTTGAACATTTTCCTGCCAAAAATTTTGAAATTTCTCGGTACAATGCAATGTAAAATTTTACACATTTCATTCTTTCGAGTTTTACTAATATCACGCAATTTGTCCTCTCGAGCTGTTATATGGCCACAATATACTGTGGTTTTTATTCCAAAATTAGACCATCTTTGTACGAATTTGTTAGGAGGAAACTATTCTAATCATATTCAAATATATGCCCCATGTTACACATGCTTCACATGGAAGGATAGGAGGCATAGGACCCTACCCCCACAAATCGATCGCATTCTTTATGCAAAGTACCCTATCCAGCACCCTATGGAATACGAGCTGATAGTCACGATACGAGTTACATAAATTATGTAACTTAGTTACATATTGTAGCATTTCTACAGCGGCAACATAACCATGGCATTTCGTGTACGTGCATGTTTAAATATTAATATATCCATCTTGCTAATTGTTTCTGTACAAAGCCCCGCCAGGATGGATGGATCCGCACGTATGCCATTCTATTTCTGGGTCGAAAGGCACAACAAACCAATCCTTTTGTAACCCTTTCAGTACGAAAGTACTGCTCTCCTCCTGATCATTCAAGTTCCCCATGTGTATCTATACATATTTACAGATATGGGGACTTACCTAGGCACCATCATTGTATGCATTTGCGTCATCAAAATGCCCTTGGCTGAAGGAATTTACGAAATTCTAAATTTTGAAGACAGGATCAACTCATTTTTTCCTCCCTGCCAATTAAGTATTTCTTATTTTGGAAATTTTCACGTTCCATCGACTCTACAAAGACCGTACCAATTGAGTAAATATATTCCTTCACACGATCCATATAACTCGCGAGCAAACATATACGCATAATATTCGCTGGACATTTATGTTGAATTTCTTATAATTCCATTTAAATGAATTTTAGAGCGAACCTGACCCAACCCAATCTATTTTATCAACCCATTGAGCCTCTCTTTCGTTCATATCTCGTTCCTGGTTGCCTCATTTATGTCATCGTCGTACCACACGAGTCGATGGATAACTATAGTACCGTTGCTATCTACACGTTCAAAATTTCGCAGCATAATACTTTGCCCACAATATATCAAACCTGGAACATGAAACCACGGCACCACTTCTTTTCCTACTTTGATTACACCCTGCTAGCAATGTTTGGTAACTTTATTGTAGCTCCGGCGGATTCAATTGGACAAATTAGATTCATGGTTCAGGCCTCAATGATTGTGGTATTTCAAATCGATGAGACCACACCAGATGTGGTCTGATTAAACTTTGCTGGAAGATGAGGAGACATGGTCAACCGTCAATCAACTACTCCAGCCAATTTCCATGATGTGTGTAACGTAGTGCATTGTATTTGTATAACAATGATGATGATAACAAGTGATGGACCCATTAACAAATAAAATGGTTATCACATAACGTATCAACTACAAAAACTACGTATATATAATGCACGTATAATAATTTCTCTTTCTTGCCCTCCAGAAATTTAAAGATTATCTGAATTTGTTCAACGTCCCAATTATCATCGAATTCAAATTCATCTCTTCCAGTTTGTTTGTTGAGTATAATTAGAGCACAAACGTTGAACTTATTACTTTCCCATCTCATGGCTCGGTCAGTCTGATAAATACCTATATATAACAATCAAGTAAAATTAAGATAAAATTAAAATTAAGTCGTTCAGCAAAAGTTACATCTTTAGACCTGTTTTCTCTTGTTGGTGCGGGGATTTCCAAGGTTCCACTACATCTTTTGATCGCGCTATGTCATACTGTCATCAAATAGCACGAACTTCTTTTTATTTCTACTGGTTTTCCTGGGAACGTTTAGCCTCAATGGGTGATAATGTTTTTAACCTGGTAAATTTCCTGAAACAATATTCACTTCAGGTTGCGTTAAACGGTGCGTTAACGCGAATGATTCGGACCGTGGAAAATGGTACAGCTCAGTTCGTATTAGAAGCCAATTTAGATTTCGCCAACCCTTTCGAACCGATCCTCTGGGAATCAGTTATTGCTCGCAATTCTAGAATTCTAGTGGAAAATTGGTCGTTCTCATTCGTCACATGTTCATCCTTAAATAAACCGTAGTAACGTTAGAAGTAGCTCACCCTGTAATAATGATTTGGTTATAACTTGCCCCAAAGGTGCAGAAAAATGAAACAAAATAGATACATAATTTTTTGCACTAATGCACCAATGGTACAGAAAAAAACCTACTCCAAGCAACTTTGCGGGGCCTTTTAAGATGGCATTAATACCATCTTGGTAGTTAATGGCAACACATTTGGGTGGAAAAAATCCCCACTGCCCAACTACTTGGCCGATCATGCCCATCTCCGAACTCATCCTTACTTTTGACTCGAAGATGAAGTGTGCAAAATTTCAAGTCGATAGCTTGTTGTTAAAGAGAGTTATCGTGCGCACAGACGGACGCACAGACGGACGGACAGACAGACATCTTGGTAAATCTATAAGGCCATCTTAAAAGGCCTAAATCCAACAAAGTGGATCAATAATTTTTATGCAATGTTGCACCAATGGTGCAGAAAAATCCAACAAAGTGGATCAATAATTATTATGCATCGAGAAGAGTCCAAAAATTGTGCATCACTGGTGCACAATTACCTACCAACGGTTAACGATAATTTTGAAAAATTTATGTCAAAATTGTATGATCATTTCTCCCGGATATTCTGCATTATTTGTGCGTTTTGCGTCCCTGCCTCCAATTATTTGGCATCATTTTGTGTTCCCGATTGTTAGATATCAATGGTCCTATTAACTTGTTAAAACATTTAATTCGGTTTGTTTAGTACCAATGGTGCGCCTAACGTATCCAATAATGGTCAAGGGGCTGTTTAATTAGCATCAATTGATGCAAAAAGGTCGTTAACAGACAGACGGACGGACGGACGGACGGACAAGAGGAATTCAATAGGTCCCGTGCTATGCAGGGTGAGCTAATAATGCTCGGGTCGATTATTCGGGTTACTTGAAACCATTCAAGGTCTCCGTTTGGTACGTTTTACTAGCGTCTTCCCTTCTCATAACGTTTCTCCTCATTGCCCAGAATTATTCAAAATACAGGCCGTCCCTCAATTGGTATAAGTTAGCAAATATAATAATCCAGGCAGGGTTCGATGTGTGCCTTATCGCCTTTGAAGGACAGGGTCCCACTGTGCGGGTATTGTTTAGAAGTTCCGCATCTGAGAAAATGATAATTCTCTGGGCATTGATGACTTTCGTATTGGTTAATACTTACAAGAGCATCTTTACGGAAGACACGACTGCGCCACTGGTCTTAAGTCCCCCGCGGACATTTGATGACTTGGTGAGTGGGAAATTTCAAATATATAGCAGCCCTGTGGTGGTATATCCAAAAAAATTTGCTGTGCCCGTAACACTCACGAAATATCGCGTGGGAGAGAGCGAGCTTGACGCTGAAATCCATAGACTGTCTGCATTGTGGAGTTCCGCACTCCCGTTTAAATTGCATTGGACAGTCATACTCATTTTGAGAGAGTACTCATGTCAAACGACAAAAGATGAGCCCCCGTGGTACTGTGCAGACGTACCATTCGAGAAGCTATCAGAAATTGACCCCAATCCGGTCCCCGTAGTAAGTCAGGAATTTGCAAAAAGTCAACTTGGTCGAATAGCTGGGATCTCGCAAGTTGTAAATGCCTCATATGCCCCCAACATTGTGGGGAAATGCGAGAAAACTGCATTTGTCGCACCATCCATTTACATCAAGTCAAAGATGTACTTGCTCTCTATTTTTGGTGGGAAGAGTTCGCATTTAAATAGAAAACCGTACGTTGCAAGTGTTGATACAGTACTTTCGAGAAGGGTTTACATCAGGTTAACAAAATTTGGCGTGTTTAGCGAAAGGGTTAAGGGCAAGATTCAGAAACTAATTGAAGGTGGGCTATACAAGTTTTGGCAAGACTTGCTCATTCATGCCCATACGGTTGGTGGAATAGGGAGAATGCCAGAAGACAAATTTGTTCAGCAGCAACTGGATTCTAATATTATTACAGTCTTTGTCATGTTGAGCGTCGCGGGAGGCATTTGTGTAATGCTACTGCTCATTGAAGTTGGTTGGGGCAGGAGGAAAATAATTTTAGCAGAGGTTAGAACTTTGCGGGCTAGGTGTCGAGCCCTTATTAAAAAGTTGTACGGAAAAATGAGACGAGAAATGATTCGTGTTAGACGTGCTATGCATGATTGCAAACCAAAAATCTCTGTGGGGCGGAAAATTTCCCGCTCTGCTAAGTGACATCAAATTTTGATTCTTCATCTTGTTTGGTCTGAAATAGTATACGAATGAATTGTTTTTATACATATATCTTAAAAAACGCATTTCACATCTGGGAAATATCCCTAAGTTAGTATTAAAATTTATTATTAATCAACATTCCTTCTTATATAAATATGTGCATAACTTCGCGTGACACTTATGTATGTACGATGTAAGATGGAATGCAATTGTGACGATCTAAAATTACTTATACACTCTTAGAAAAATCAATACCAGATCAATACCACGCGGTATTCATATGTGACTCTACCGTTTTGGTATTGATTTAATACCAAGCGGTATTATTTTGGATTTATACCGTTACGGTATAAAAACGTCACTTGCGGTATTGATTTTTGTTCGTGGTAGTATTGTTTATTAATACCGAAGGGTAGCAACCTAAGACACAGCGGTATTAAAACACTTAATACGGTATTGATGATTGATACCATGCAGTATGAAAAATAACGGTTTAGTACTGGTTGGTATTGATTTTAACGTTATTTATTTGATAAAATTACAAATCAGCCAATTATAAATGACAAATATTTACAAAAAATGGAAATCAACTGGATGGAATATAATGGAATAACTTAATTATGAAACTGGCTCACAAACAATAATGTGGAAGAGTTGAGCTGACTGGTTCTAAACGCACAAGCAATTTAAACAATACATTGTGTAAATAATTCACACTTTGAGGCAGTTATTTTTATATATTTTTCAATTTAAAGTTATCTTACTCCTAATTCGATAGGAAATATCCAACTGAAATAAGTGATAAGCAAAATGTCAATTAGTTGAAATATTTTAGAATATCTACACATGTCTAATTTAATTTCAATAGTCATTCTGATTTGTAAATGTATTCACCAACCTAAAATTATCCGGAATCCTATATGCACGACCGGAACTCGGAATTGGCTAAGTTGATGATCTCGCTAAATATAAAACAATTTAATTAATACAAAGCAGACACTATGACGAAATTGGTGGTTTAAAAATCCTTCCGATTAATATAATACGTAGCAAAAGATAAAACGAAAAGAAAAAATAAATTTAAGCTTACCCTTTAATAAGAACGTGTCAAAGTTTCCAGCGGAATAGTCAATTTCTTCCCCTCAAATAATTCCCTAGCCGAAATAATTTTGAAGCACTTATTTTTAAAAAGAGAACGATTTGCAACTGCAAGTGTGAGGTGATTGCAAATCTCGCGCACAAATCTATACCGGACTGATTTGAGACTGGGTGAACGTGGTATAAAATCTGTACCAGTCAGTATTGATGTTTTACCAACTCGGTATTACAAGTTAATACTCTCCACGTACAAGCTCGTGGTATTGATTTTTCGCAAAATTTTAATACCCATTCGTGATTGCGTGATTGTACCAGCACGACGGTATTAAAATTTTTCAGAGATCAATACCCAGTTTCTAAGAGTGTATAAGTCTACATGTCTTTGCTTTTTTAACTCGAACGTTGCTTTTGCAATAATTCTATTGGAGTTTCATTTGAAATTAACCATTTCGTGTACGTGCGAGACCTGGTAAGCATCATGTAGAAACCACCGACAAATACACCATTTTGGCTTGACATGTATAGTAGCTAGCTTTTATAATAATTGCGTGCACACTTGTAGAAAACAGGCTGGTTTTGGTATTTCACATTAACGATGTCTGAATCGGATAATTCACTATTGTCTCATGAACAAGTTCAACATTTACCCGACAAGATTTGTATTCATGTCCAAAATAGATATTCTCTTACGTTCCTTATCTACAACTTCTTATCAAAACTTGTCTATATATAAATAAGCAGTTCATCCGTCTAAAAATTTTACTTACATTTGTACAATCGACAACTTTGTCAGAATATTATGTTAAGCATGTTGTATAATTGTATTTAGCTCCTGTAATTTTGTCGTCTATACACAAATTTGTGCATTTCATACCTCGGGAATTAGCTTTTATTTTAGCATAATAAAGGGTGGGCAACTTAAAAGTGGTACAGCACCTAGTCGGAAATTGTTGGGTTTAGAATGTCATAAAATCAAAAGGGCTTGACGAATTTGAATGAAATTTTCCACACTTATTAACAACTACCTAGTAAGCCTTGTGATAGCACCCAGTGCTCTATTTCATTTGATTTGACAGTAGTTATATACGGTTTTGTAGCATGGTGAATTCTGCACCAAACTACTTTTCGCATACCTAAAATTAAGTAGTTCCAAACTTTCGTCCTCCGAGGACTACGCTTCATATATATCATGTAGTATCTCCCCACATAAGTTGGTGTTAACCAGGAAAAATATTGACCCTGTGCGAATAAATATACAGGGTGGAGGAAATTTTTTGTCAAAACATTAAAAATTTTGGCTTCTTCAAAGCTTTGACTACCTGGAGAGGACTTTTGTTTTGTTTTTGATGCCGAACTCTCCAACGGGATGCATTCTAGGTAACTCATGCCAAATTAGCTAAATAACAATTCGTTTGGCCTTTCCAGGGTAAATAATACTCAACTTTCCGTGTCACGTAATCAGGGATTTTAATTTTTCGTCAATTTTCTGGAGAAATGCAAATTTTTTCAAATTTGATTTTCTGAATTTGATAGCTTAACTTATCAGAAAAATTACAAAAATAATAAAGAGTAGAAATCCTTATGCATGCGGAAGAAATCCAACTTGTTTCAACGACCTAAGATTTTCTAAAAATGTGAATTCCTCGGAATGTATAAACGATTTTGAGCTCTTTTTGTACCAGTCATTAACAATTCGTATGACATGTCTAAAAAATACAAAATGATAGAAATCGTAGCAGCGATACCAGAAATATGGTCAAAGCGCCACTGTACCACTCTTAAGTTGCCCACCCTTTATGTACTGAAAATATTTTAATCCTAAAAACTTGTTGACACTGTCACAGTTAGTTAACGTTACATAAATAAGTTCGCATGTGTATTACGTGGTTGGATAGGTCAGTTATTAACAAGTAAAATGTATTCTTATTGAAACTTGAACCAGGGCAGCCAGATTATTCATCTTTTTTAGAACGGCGTCCAACAATGGATATGTACACAATTGAATAAATGTGTTGATTGATTGATTAATTGACATATAGGTATCTATTTTTTGGGCAGACTAACAATTACACTTTTTCCAAGCTACACCGAGATTGTCTAGCGAGTTATAGACAAAAATCGAGTAAAAAATTCAGTCACATGACACTTGTCTTTCCGTTGAATGCCCCCTATGAGTAAAAATATTGGCAGTAAAGTTCAATTTTTCTAGCGATTTTCTTCCACGTGACGAAAACCAAAGCGGCCCTGTGAACTTTGCCGCCGGTATTTTCTTCTAAGTGGCCATTCAACTAGAAGATATGTGATGTGACTGAATATTTTTGATGTGATTTTTAAGTATAACTATTTTTTAATACACCACCCATAGACGTATTTATGTACATATGTATGTACTAATTAAATAGTATATATGAATAGTATAGTACATATGAAAAAGAGGCTGGAGAAGAGAAGGCACGTCTTTTTTCTGCTCTCGCGGAATATAATTTTTGTGTCAAAGTTTTGAAAGTTACCGACCACCCCCACTTCTAAAAACTGGACTACTGCTTCCCCGTTCGGCCCTCTGAAGTAGTGATAGTGAAAGTTGGGGTAAATTCGCTCACCCTGGTGACCTTGTAGGCCTTACCGGATTTTCGGCTTCTTTGACTGGACTTCCGCCCCTATTTTCACGAGTGAACTCGTTTGTCTCTTTCGTCACCAGTGCCTAATTTCATTGCGGAGGGTTCCACTACTCTGTTAGTGAAGGAGGGTAGTCCCTGCATCCCCAGGGCACGGCGCGGAGTTCTGAGTGACCGTGACCTGCGGGGTTGGCTATCCTCACGCACTTTAAGTGCCTAAATAAGGCAAGAAAGTTTTTCCTTCCGTTCCTTTTTTGTGTGATGCAACGTTTTAAAAGGAGCCCAATATACTAATATTTTTTTTGGGTCCCTGCGTGAGTCCAATTGGTCTCTCTTCGCGCTCAGGGTTCCCTACAGGTCTACATGTCATCACGTGACGGGATTTCGGGTGACGCACTCGACAACGAGTCACAACCTTCGGGGGACGCGACGTCAGTGTCATCACGTCCAAGAGGCAGACCACGAAAATCGCTCATCGGCCCGGTCTTCTCAGCGATTGTGAATGGCGAGTCTGCGAGTGAAATGGTTCCTCCCGGGCCTCCTATTTATGTGAATGACGGCCCAGCACCGTTGGACACATCAATTCTCTCTGCCCCAGCACGCCGCCGTTCGTCGGTGTCGCCATCATCTCCTGGCGTGACAAAGAGAGACACTTTCGCCTCAGCGCGTCGATGGATTCAGGACTCCCTAATCCCGGACCAGAACTCAAAACTAAGGAAGTCGGATATATTCGCCCGCTATGCACTTTTCGTTGACCAATCGGGAGAGGGTGGAGTCGCCGAGACCACCCTCGGAAAATGCATAAAGGAGTTATTCCCCAACGTCATGAGCCGTCGAAAGACTGGGGCAGACGCTCACACGTTTTTTGAGGGAATGCGGTGGATGGATTCGCCAGCCTCGGAGGAGACAATGTCGCAGGATTGGGGGGAAGTCCTTTCTCGCCTCAAGATGACCACACCCACACTACGAAGAGTACCAAAAGGGGCCAGAAAAGAAGTGGCGCGGGCCCTCACTAAGGTCTTAGAGGAGGTGACCACTGCCAACACCGAAGAAGTATGGGGAAAGCTCTTTCTGTTCCCCTATGCGTGTCTTCCTGTCCCCCAGAAGACCGATAAGGTGAAGAATTTGACAACATGGGTCAAGTCACGGGTTGCTAGGTGGCTAGTGGACCAGACCACCCCTCCGCCACGACAAAAACGACCTCCCGCCAAGCCCCCTCGAGTGATTGAGAGTGTCGCCAAGAAAGTTGAGGCCAAGTTGGCAGATGGCGATGTCCGGGGAGCAATTCGACTTGCCTGCTCAGATGACACGATTGCCCCCATGACCCAGGAAACGATTGATGCGCTAATCGCCAAGCACCCGCCACATCCGAAGCCTACAAATTATCCCGTACCGCCAAAGAATTCAGTGGAACCAGCAGCGGTGGAGATGCTTGAGGTCACTACAGCCATCGCAAGCTTCCTGCCAGGATCGGCGGGAGGTCTGGACTCCCTCCGCCCACAAATTTTGAAAGATATTGTCGCGGTAGAACAAGGAGAAGCAGGGACTAATCTAATCGACGCCCTGCTTAATTTTATAAATGTTGTTCTCAGAGGGAGTGTACCGGTCTCTTTCTGCCCCATTTTCTACGGGGCTTCCCTCACCGCACTAAAGAAGAAGACGGGTGGAATTCGGCCCGTGGCGGTTGGAAATATGTGGCGACGTCTGGCTTCTAAAATTGCTGTTGCCAGGATGTCGTCCCGCCTGACGGAATACCTCGCACCACATCAGCTGGGGGTGGGGACAAAGGGAGGAGCAGAAGCAGCGGCACATGCGGCCCGCATTGGGGCCACAAGCACACAACAGCCAACGCCTTCTTGAAATTGGATTTCTCAAACGCCTTTAATGAGATTCGGCGGGACACGATCCTTACTATTATCCATGAAAGGTTCCCCTCAATGTTCCGTTTTTTGTCACAGGCGTACTCCTCGCCTTCACAACTATTTTATGGGGACACACCCATCTCCTCCCGCCGCGGGGCCCAACAAGGAGATCCGATAGGTCCCGCACTTTTCGCCCTGGTCGTCCAGCCCATCATCCTTGCTATCGAAACTGAGCTGAATCTGTGGTACTTGGATGATGCCACTCTAGCGGACACTCCAGAGAAAGTTCTCGAGGCATTGGATACAATTATTCGCATGGGAGCCGACTTCGGGCTTCTTCTCAATACCGCCAAATGTGAAGTAGGTGTGCTTGGAGCGGACGACCATTCCCGCTCTAAAATTTTGGAGCGGTTCCGACAGCTGGCGCCAGGGATACAGGAGATATCCCCCGCAACCGCCGTCCTGCTTGGCGCCCCGCTTACTGACGAGGCCATCGAGTCGGTGGTGGGGACAAAGACCGACCAACTTGCCAAACTGGGCGCCCGACTCCTTGAACTCTCCTCCCACTCTGCGTTTTTCCTCCTTCGGGCGTCCATCTCTACACCCCGCCTTATTTATTTTTTGCGGTGGGCCCCGACTTGGAAACGTTTCGACGCCCTCACACTATATGACGCCAAACTTAAGGAGTCAATGGAGGGTATCCTCAACTGCTCACTTTCCCCGCAATCTTGGCTTCAGTCCTCCCTTCCCGTCGGCGATGGCGGCTTGGGGGTTAGGCACGCTGTAAACGTGGCGATTCCGTGTTTTCTCGCGTCCGCTTACAGTGTCCTCTCCCTTGTAGAACGCCTACTCCCGCCATACCTCCATGGCACCGACACCGCATTGCAAGAAGGAGAAGAGCGATGGAATCCAATGGGACCCGCAGAATTTCCCCCGCCGGAAGTTAGAGGTTTTCAGGCCTCGTGGGAGGTGCCTCAGCAAGAGGCCGCTATCAACCACCTCAGAAATAGAGCATCTACTCCAGAGGATAAAGCTCGTCTCCTTGCCCTGGGACAACCGCATGTGGGGGCGTGGCTCAATGCCGTACCTTCGCCACAACTTGGGACGCTACTCCCAAATGAGACGTTTCGCATCGCTTGTGCCCTCCGTCTTGGATGCGACGTCTGCCACTCCCATAAATGTCCATGCGGAGCTATGGTCACATCAAAAGGCTACCATGGCCTGAGCTGCAAAAGTAGTGCGGGGCGTCATTCCCGCCAGGCCGCAGCAAATGACGTGATTTGGAGAGCTCTTCGTTCCGCCGGAGCCCCCACCATTAAAGAGCCAGCCGGTTGTTCCCGGCCAGACGGGAAGCGCCCTGACGGACTGACATTAGTTCCATGGGCAAGAGGGCGGCCCCTGGTATGGGACTTTACGTGTGTCGACACTTTGCACCGTCTTACCTCCCCCAAACCTGTTTTCATCCTGGTGCGGCAGCCGAGAGGGCGGAGGACAGGAAGACAAAAAGGAAGACCTTCTGGACAGATTCCTCTTTGTTCCCGTAGCCGTAGAAACAACTGGAGTATGGGGAAAGGAGGGCCTGTCCCTTATCAAAGAAATAGGGACAAAGATCACAGCCCTCACGGACGAGAAGAGGGCAACGAATTTTCTCATCCAAAGAATTAATATTGCAGTTCAACGCGGAAATGTGGCCGCGATATTAGGATCTCTGCCAGCAGGACGAGAGCTGGATGAGGTTTTTTATCTTTAGGACGACAACAATTAGAGGAATTTTTTTAAATATTAAGATAGGGAAATTTATGTACTGCGCTGGTCGTTTAGCTTTTTCGAAACAAATGTATGTAAAATGAACATGGAAAGAACAATAATAAATACAATTAAATCATAGGGACACTGATGTACGGCGCTGGTCGTTTAGCTTTAAATTTATGTACTTATAATGATTTCATGAATTAAATCATAAAATAAAGTAGCTCAATATCTATATTATAATTTCCAAAAGTCCGTCCCGTGGAATTTTCCGTAACATCCCTGCATTCTGATTGGCTGTTGAAATTCTGGCTCCACCAAAGGGTTATAATTTCGGTTATGAGTTAGGTTATGATTTCGGTTATGATTTCGGTTATAATTTCGGTTATGATTTCGGTTATAATTTCGGTTATGATTTAGGTTATGATTTAGGTTATGATTTCGGTTATAATTTCGGTTATGATTTAGGTTATGATTTAGGTAATGATTTCGGTTATGATTTCGGTTATGATTTCGGTTATGATCTCGTTTATGATTTCGGTTATGATTTCGGTTATGATTTCGGTTATAATTTCGGTTATGATTTAGGTTATAATTTCGGTGATTTCTGTTATGATTTAGTTTTAAAGAATCCTAAAAGTATTCGTTAGCTACCTGTAAAATTTTCTCTACCCAAGTAAAATAAAATAAAAATAAAATCCTAAAATTCCTATTTAGCAAAGTTAGAAAATTCCTTGGCAACGTTCAAAAATTCCTCAGCAACGTTAAAAAAATTCCTTGGCAATGTTAAAAAATTCTTCAGCAACGTTAAAAAAATTCCTTAGCAACGTTAAAAAAATTCCTTAGCAACGTTAAAAAAATTCCTTAGCAGCGTTAAAAAATGCTTTAGCAGGGTTAAAAAATTCCTTAGCAACGTACAAAAATTCCTTAGCAACATTAAGAAATGCCTTAGCAAGGTTAACAAATTCCTTGGCCACGTTAACAAAATTCCGTTAACAAAATTCGCGCCAGTTACATATTTACTTCGTTCATCCTATGGTTTGGTTGGTTCGTTTAGGACGCTAAATTTGGACCGTCTTTAAGACGGGCTTATAGGCTAGTATACTATAAATAGACATATGTAAATGTAAGACAAGACTCGTTTATCTTCACTTGTTGAATTATTATTACAAAAATATGAGAAATAGAATAAAACTAGGATGTGGTAATGTTCTTCATAATCATGAATAAAATGTGCAAATTATCATATTTGCTTTCAAAATTCCCCGGGCAAATTATTTTTTCCGGCTAGAAATTCGTGAAGGAAAAATATAACTTACGTATTACTATTACACTACATGGGGCCCATTGTCTGATGTGTGTTCAGTACAGGCATATGTATGTACGTATACCAGTATCTACGTACATTAACATTTAAATATGGATATGTTTTTCAGGCCGAATGAACAGGGTGAACTCTCATTAGTACATGTGGTTACAGGTAAGATAGTATTTTATTTTTAAAAGTAAAATGGTGTATCGCAGAGTTCAACTAAATACTTAAACAAATCAGAAAATGGTTTCAGAAAAACCAGACTGTACAGGTTGTCGGAGCGTAAATAATATAATATATTACAATTCATACATATGTATGTACATAGGTATGTCTGAATTCATCAATAAATGTGAATGTAGTAATTCTAAATACAATTTTTTTCCTCATATTATTTAAGTGAAAAATGTAATCAATAAATTGATGCTCATGTGTGTTCACGTATTTCTACATATGCTCAGGGCCCGTGAGAGGGGCGGGCAAGCCGGGTAGTTGCCCAGGGCGCTGAGGCGCCGAGGGGCGTCGGAGGGCGCCAACGATTATATGATATGTAAAGTAATTTATTGGCATAATCCTGGTAAAAAAATCAAAGTGAAGCTGATTAAAGTAAAGTTCTTTTGAATATTCCACAGCAATGAGTGGTATTTTTCAGTTGTCTTTGAGTAGGGTCTGCCAATTTTGGTTTTTATGGGCTTAAGTTTTTGTGATTGTTGTTGTAAACTAATCCCTGAAAACCCCAATGCTATCATGTGTTCGTGGGATTTTTATAAAACTTTGAAGCAAGTTGAAATAAACTTCTCTAAACCATGCATACATATCTTCACTATTAATAATGCTAATTAAGTTATCGGATTCAGCATGGAATTTTGAAATTTTGAGGATTTTCACGTGAATTGAATTTCTAATGTCACTACCATGTACAGAAATCCTATCTTGAATAAATTGGATTCTTGAATTAATTACATTTATTCAAGAGCCTCCAAAAATTCCCGAAAAATTCCTTACACATGAGATTTCTAGAAAATTCCCGTTTTTCGAACGCCGCCTTTGACTTTAACATAGAAATATTTGTGACACAAAAATGAACCCTCGTGTGCAAAATCACGGGTACCAAAATTCAAGTTAATTTTTCCATTCACAGTGTGACGATTTAACATGTAAAATTCAGATTTACGTTAGGCTAATTGTACTTTGTCGAGGTGCGAATTTTAAACCTTTCTCCAGTCAAACAATTTGGTTTTCACAAATCTTGAACTTTTCGAAGTTGACAGCCCCTTAAAAAATTCAGAAACATGTTTGTTCAGAAGAAATATCTGATTTATTAAAATTCAATTTTCGCGTCATTTTACGTTTAACATTTTTTTACTTTCTGAAATTCCTTAAAGCAAATTCTGGCCAACTTTAAATTTCATTTAATACTGCCGATGAATTTTTATAAGCCACGTAAGGACGTTTTATTGCTAATCAATATGTTTCCGAATTTTTCGAATTTTAAAGGTTCCAGAATTTACAAAATCAGAGGTTTTGGCTGTAAAAAAATTAAAATGCAAGTTCCAGGCTCGAATTAGAGCATTCTGGAAAAAATTATTAGTGTCCTTATTTTTTCGCGAAAAAATAAAATTGGTCCCAAGTGCATCAGAATTTTTAATGCGAAAGACCTACATTTTGAGCAAATTGATTTCTTTCTAGATTTTCTCATTAAATTATCGAATGACTAATTTTTAGATAAATTGAAAATTTAGGTTTACGACCTTTTTTTACCCCTCGAAAAAATCATGTAGATATAGAAATAAGAAGGGAAAAATTAGGGGCGCACAAATATGTTTTGCCCGGGTTAATTTTTGGGGTCGCACGGGCACTGCATATGCTGGAGATAATTTGACAAAAGAACGGTTATTAATTATGTCGCGAAGAAGTGACTCTTTTCCGCCCCTCCCTCTCTCCTTGTCACGCGTTACACCCCCTTTCCACTTGTGGCACAAATCGACCTGTCCCCCAAGACTTTTATCCTGCTACCCACGTCACGAGCAACATAATTTATGGACATCCGCTAACTACATGTTTCCCGCAGTTATGTAAATACACTAATTTATGCATAGAAATTTAACCTTTCTCAGCACGTTTAAGGAGTTTATGTTTTAACAAAAGCTGGTTATATACGGAGCATTGTCCTTTTCTTCGAAAATTCAAGGCCTGATCTGTCTTCAATTAATCTAACCAAATCTCCATCAATAGAAGCCTCCCACCTATTCCTGATTGTGGAAATATTATCTCTGTCTGAATGTTGTAGTTCCACGTGATCTGGCGATCTACGGACACAGTTCTCGATTAAATTAAAAAATGTATCTCTACTTTCATCCGTGAAAACTAAGTATGCAATTGGATTATGCAAAATACATGTTTTTAAATCGCCATCACTATTTTCAAGTTTGTCAAATTTTTGTATCATGTCATTTATCGATAGCAATTCTACACTACCCACACCACAATCTAAAAGTTTCACAACTTTTGGAGAATAATCAGTATAATAAAAATTCAACCATTTCATTTTTCTAAATGCAACCTTAGGTTTCAACATTGTACGAAGGAACGAGACCATCCAAGCAAGTGGTTCGACACCACACACATATCCGTGCAATATTCCGAATTTAGATTCTTTTAATATAAATGCGAAATCTATATCAGAACGGTTCACCACTTTTATCAGGAAATCCTCTAGGTAAAAATATCTTCCACCTACATGAGATAAGTCCTGAGATAATTTCAGATCACGTTGTAACCTTCTGTTACTATCTTTAAACTTTGGAAAATTGGCATAACCTAAACCTTGCGCCAGTCTCGCTTTTATCATATCGTCTAAGAATGAAAATAGGGCAAAATGGTTAGCTGGTTCGCGTTGTAAAAGTATATTTGTAAGTAGTTTGGCATCCTCTTCAAATGAATTATTTCCATGATGAGAAAGACGATCGATTTCGCTTGCGAGGAATTTTGCCACGTAAAACTCGGCAAATGTGCGATGAATGAATTGTAGGTTTTTTGCCCCCTTATCCTCGTATGCAATGCCTAGTCGAATGATATCGTCGACAACCATTTTATCAGGACATAGTAATTTTCTCCCACAAACTCGGGTAATTAATGAATCGTAATCTTCCGAACAATTGATTATCTCAACTGCAATCTTGTACATATATTCATCCAAACGTGCTGAAACATGTCTATCTGCCACGGATGAATTTGGAAGCCCATTTTTCTGAGAGAGGTAAATATGGTACTTCCGATCGATAAATTTTTGATAAATATAGCTCAAAGATATTACCTCCCTCAAGTCTTCAATTGCTCCTTTTTTTCCTTCACTTACGACGTAATCAATCGCATTATCAAGGAAAATTTCCGACAAAATTCTTAACTGTAGGGGCACCCCGAGAAAGTTCTCTCTACCTTGAACAAGATGCGAGTGTGCTTCTAGAATTACCTGAGTAGCAAATTTTGTTAACAGTGTGAGTTCCGAAGTTTGTTCGTTGGTACATCGAATCGCAGTGGACCACAGGTTTACAAGAAACTGTATTTTCTCATTCTCCTCAACAGATTTCGAGTCTCTTAGGGGGACAAATGTATGCTCCAGGACGCACAAAGTGCTCTGCAGCAGATCCGAATCGTGACGACGAGTCGTGATAATTATCCTAATTTTTGTTTGCTTACGAATCTGAAGGAGAACGTTTGTCCACAGTTTATTGTTTTCAATCGTCATTTCGTCGAACCCATCCGCTATAATTGTTACCATATTGCCCAATAAAATAAAATTACGCAATATAAATTTCGAAAATTCATTAAACTTTTGATTTGCAGAAATGCAATTAACAAAACTGGATACGAAATCAGTATCACTTAGCTCAATGTTCTCCAAAGTTTTGAGTTCGATAACGATTAGAAAATGCATATTACTTCTTTTAGCATTTTGTTGCAAAATTCTGTTTGCCAGCTTGACCACCGTTGTTGACTTGCCCATCCCGGGTTCGTCGGAGAAAATTATGAACCGGTTGTCTAAAGGTAGGTCGTCCTCATGTACTTCAACATTTGCGAACGCAAATTCTGTTTTGTGAACGTCGCCTGCCACACCAATGTAACTATTATTACGTGATACGAAACGCATTGATCCACGTTTTTTCAGTTTCGGAAAGAGTGATTTACAGGAAGAATTTGTCGCATTTTGGCTATCATTCTTATGAATTTCTACCTTAAAGTTATGCCCTATATAGCACTTTTTATCCATTTCAAATTTCAAATAATTACAAGCTGCTTCCAAATCAATACCTGGCTTATTAATTTTCCTCTTAATATAAAAATTAGGAATATATTGCAAAACACGGTGGAATGGCTGGTTAACATTGAAATCGTCGCTGCAACGAACGTGGTCAACAACGCAGTCGGGTTCACTCGTGCAAATACTTTGGAATTCAACAAATGAGTTCGCTGGTAAAATAATAATCCTTATTTTTGTCTGGCAAAGCGGTTCAAGCACTCCCTGCTGATGCAAGTAATCCTCCTTGTTGCACTCAAATACAACAATGGTTTCGTATTTTGTCAGTTCTCTTGAGTAGTATCCTACTAATTCTGCACTATTCATGTTACGCGCAATTTCAAAATATGAGCTCTTAAGGCTGAACACGGATTTTGGAGTGTGACCGATTTTTTCCTGACTACCCTCGAGAATAGATAAGATGGTGGATGGTGATGATTTTAGAAATTCTTTAAACTCGTCTTGCTTATCATGAATGACATCTCTCAACAAGCGCGGATGCCCCTGCAAACATATTTCCTTTGAAAGCAAGCATTCTAACAAGTCAGTGTCAACTTCAAAATTAGCCAGTTCGAAAGAGTTGGGGGTTATCATTCTTTTTCTTTTTGGTGATGGCTCGTCAGAATCTTGGGTAACAGTCTGTTTGATATATGTGCACTGTCTTAGCCAAACATATTTAATTGATGGATTGGACGAAAATTTGTGAATTTCATCATCCGACACATCGATACAGTTAATTATTATTAAGGTAATACCACTCAGTTTTATTTCTAGTTTTGGTCTAGATTTTTTATTCTTAGAATCATATTTCAAAATTAAAGCTGTTTTAAGCGCGGCGTTAAATCCATTGTGTTTCAAAAAGATGAATTTGAGCAATGTCAAAGTCAACAAATCTTTACTGGTTGATGTCAAAATTGTGGCCGTATTCTTATTTACATTGTAACGTTTAAGTGGATCCGTGCGGGTAAATTTTACACCACAATATTTGTTCAGCATTTCATCACAGAATGACTCACTCTCAAGTAAAACGGAAGTAAAATCATAATCTGGAAGATTTTTAATCCCATTTCGTAATTCAGTTTGGAGATTAAATGAGCAGCAATTTTTAATGAGCTTGTATGTTTCTTGATTTTTAAAACTGATCCTTCCCATTTCAGCGGAAAATTTGTCGATATTATCGAAAATAGGTTTCAGTTCCGGACTACAAATCTTATGTACTTTATCATGTCGGATGTATTTCTTCCATAATCGAATTCTTTTAAATTGTTCTGTAATTTTTTTCTCAGTCTCGCTCAGTCTGGTCGTTGACAAACTAACCTCATCATCCTTGGTGGATATACTTCCGCAGTGTATATCGGCACGAGAAACCCACTCGGACAACCGTCGTCTAGCATTTTTATCCAGTACGGGAGATATCCCGTTCCAAATTAAGTTTACCCAACTATTCATAGCTTTATCTACTTTAGTGTTCCATCCCTGAAATACTACAAATGGCCATTTTACTACTTGGTATGATACGTCGCCATTTAATCGCATATCCAAGTTTACATCCGTATCACCAAAAACTGAGGAAGACAAGGAATTTTTGATAAATTGCAAGGAACGTTTGACAATCTTTATAGATTTTTTAAATAGCGACGGCTTCGTCAGCGGAATGGCCTTTTGCCGAAACGGGTTCCCCCCGTTTAGAATTTTTACAAATAAATCAATACGATGAAACCTGCCTACGTGACTTAAATGTGAAATTAGTGTATCCTTGAGAGGATCAAACTCTTCAAATGCTCCTGTAATCTGTTCCGAACTAATCTGCACCATATCTCCGAATGGAGGATTGGTAACGTTAACAAAATTTGGATAAAGTACGTAATTGCAAATTTCCAACCTAACGGTGTGAAAATCCAGATGTTGTCCAAATTTGGAACATGAGTGAATGTAATCAAGCATTTGGCGAGTGCCAGGACTGTCGAAAACGACACAGTGTGGGTGATACCGGTCCCCATTATACGGGACAAAGCTTGATGCGCTAAGTTTTAAATATTTTACGGCGTATGTGGCCACCTGAGCTAGCCAACCGCCGAGGGAGTGTCCAGTGATGATGTGTTGGAGTGGTGGTGGGTCGGATGTGTCTTTTTGAAGTTTTTCGACAGCTCCCATGACTTTTAAGACGAAGGTACAGGCAGAGTTTAGCTGTGGTGTTTTCTGGTTATTCACTATCCCCTGCAGATCCGCTTCAAGGTGGCCTTTTGCAAGTGTCGTTCCTGCATTTTTGCAAACGATTTTGAATTACAAATTGGTCTTGATTTGGGTTATAATTTGCATGAAAAGTGTTTAAAAGATATTAAATGTGCAAACAGAGGAAATATTCACACTGTGGTCAAATTGTTGCACGTATTTAGTTACATGATTTTTTCGTTTATTTAATTTCAATAAACGAAATTAGAAAGGACGAACAATAAATAACTTGAGCATATAGAGTTAAGAATTATCTGTTTGACGTCAAATAAAAAATGATACGCTAATCAGCCTTTGATAAGTAATGTTATACTATTTGCCTGTGCTTTTCTGGAATAATGGGTCAAATAAATTCATCCTTCTTGTGTTTGGTAGTGTGCACTTTTTATCTTGACATGCTAGTCTATGCGTACACTCTCAATAATTTTTTGACGATATTGTTACCGGCGGAGGTACTATGCAACTCTACCGCTCGGGTAATAATTTATCACCGAAGGGTAGCATATATGTATACAGAGGCTAAATCCTCCTCAGGAGTAGAAGGTCACTACTTGTCGGGCCCCGATTTCGATCTACTTTGGATATGTTGTAGTACTGCATGAGTGTAGAAAAAGTGAAGGAGGGTTAGACTCCATGAGCCCATTTACGCCCGCCACACCCGCTCAAAGGCGCCCAAACCCCCAGAGTTGCCGAACTAAAATCATCGTCAAAAATCGAGTTTTGGTCAGATTTTCAAAAAATTTACATCTTTGTGATCCCAGATAGTTGCTCTATCATGTCCAATAGCAAACTCAACTTTTTCAGTCATAAAGTCATGCTACATATTAAAATACCGACATACGCATTTCAATTAGGATATGTATATATGTATGTAAATCAGGCAAATCACGGATTTATGTAGAAATGTAAATAGATAAAATATGTACATATGTATGTAGATAACCAGCCCGTCTGGAATGAATGGCGACACTACGATATGAGGTGGAGTTATCCATGGCAAAATTGTTTGCCTTCTTTCATCCTGTCATGTCTGGATTCTGGATTTGGTGTAGTGGTAATTAAACGATGTCATGCTTAGGACCTTACAACAAGAATGTATTCGGTTTAGGGTTCGGAAAACCCCACGATTTTAATGGGTTTTATTGGGTTTTAATTGGTTTAATTGAGTTCTAATTGGTTTTAGTGGGACTTAATTGGGTTTATTGGGTTTTAATAGGTTTTGTACTTTTAAGTAAAAACTTTTAAGTAATAAATTCAAAAACATTTTGCAACTATTATCCATCCAATTCACAAATCCTCCTTGTCCAAACATAAAACTGTTCGTTACGAAATTAATTTTTGGTAGCACTAAATCACAGAGATGTTGGCCATTGTTAATTTATTTAGCGTTTTTGAAACTTACAATAGTAGTGAAAAAACTGCTTGGCTCCAGTGAAACAAATTCGTCAAACATATTAGTGATTTTTTCAATGTTTAAGTTTTACGGCAAAATCCAGTTAAAACCCAATAAATAACAGTAAAACACAAATAAATCACGACAAAACCCGCGTAACACGATAAAACCAATTGGGTTCTATTCATTTACATGTATTGGTCTTGTGGCACGTCGAGGTTAACCGTTACTCCAAACAATCGATGTCATTCTTAATGTACAGCCTCTTACCATCTCTATATTAATTTGTTTGTATAAAACTAACGATCAAACGAACGAGTTGTACTCAAGTTGGAACCGTATACATATGTACATAGGTGGCAAATATTGAAGAAAAAAAACTTACATTCCAACTCCTTTTTGGCATCATCAAAGCCAGAGTATGCGATTTTAGCCAATTTTGCCAAGTCCCCGATTGATGGATGAGGCTCCAGCTGCAGTTTCTTGTCGAGCTTCAAACCCTTCGTGGAGAACGTTGGATTAGGCGGACGTAAATTTTTTTTCAGAATTGTGTCCCAGTCGGAAGGATGGATTTTTAAGTTGTCATCTGGCTCAAATTTTACCTCCATGTCGATTATACAACTAAAACAATTTAGTCGACTGGACAGATCGGGCGAGGATCTAAATTTGATCTGAGTCATGAAATGATTGCGACGCTTCATTTACTTCAGCTTGAACGATATCTAATCTGCTTATCAGTTTAAATTTAATGGCTCCCAACATCGCTTTATTGACTTGAGACATAAAGTGTGGTTTAATTAAGTTTGCAGTTTGGGTTTCTAGTTTAATTTTTTTCTATTCAGTTCATAAAGTTTCTAATCGTGTCGAAATCCTGCAACAATTGTAAGAAAATATTTATCACATGGGGAGGGATATGTTGGTTGGAAAAGATGGCATGGATATGGATATCAGTTGGTAGCTTAGCGGTTAAGGTGCTCGACCGGATATCGAGAGGTCCCAGGTTCGATTCCTGCGACCATTTGAAATATGAGATAAGTTTCGTATGCTGTAAGATTATGTAAGAATACGAGACAATGGGTCGCACATTTAAGCCCATTTTTTGAAAATACACCCAAAGAATTTAATAACGGAGCCTTGTTGATAAATGACATTCTTCTCAAAGATTTTGTGGGTATTGTTGTAAAATCTGTCACCAAATTGAGCAAGGGGTTGCAGAGCAGTCAAATGTGCTCCTTTATATTCATGAATATCTCACTGCACAATTGACCGTGCATACATATGTAAAGCATGTGTTAGATTTTCGGGGAAGTTTGAACCCTACCCCCGTGTGTGTGACAATTAGCATGGGAAGAATAGGATGCTTTGACCTCTATGTAAGCCCCCCATCAGATCGATCATATGCTTTCTGTAGAATCCCTAAAGTATCCAGATTATCATGGGTAAATCCAGAAAATGTACATACATAAACATCCTTCTTAAAAATGTCTGTATTTGCATAACATCGGCGTGCACAGATACCTATTTACATACACCCTTAGGAAAATATGTAGCATTAAATCATTACCGATCGGAGTGCATACATATATAATTTCACCGACACAGTCATTATCATATAGTATTGAAGTATACCATTGGGTTAATGAAAATTTACCATTCAGAGACATAAATAGTATTTCATCATTACCGAACGGAGTGAATATATGTATGAATTAACCGGCGGGGTGATAACGAGCATCACTGCTTAGTGAAAAATACACACCGTTTTGATGATGAACACTAACCACTTTGAATCAAACTATTACCAACCCGGTGAGAAGGTATCGCCAATCAATATGACTGACAATAGAGGTATCCCAACGTATGCTCTCCGACTTCGACCAAACTGGTCTCAATCGGTCACAAATTTTATGAAATTTGCAAATGGAACTATCTGCCAATGCGCAGGTTTGGCGGAGATATTTGCATAAACACTTTGTAAGCTGTATATGCATAAGTAGATATGTACACACGTATACTTGCTGTCTAAAATATCACAATCTCAACTTCCGCGTTCAATGCACTCACTCCACTCCAGGAACTGCAAACAGGAGCTTATCAGTTGATGACGCTAACTTATCATAAAACATAAATACATACACATGTACATATGCTAGCATATAAGGAAACGTAATCTGGTATACACACAAATATTTTTTAACAGAGTTGGAAATCGCATCACCTCATCTCCTCACACTTTTGATTCCACATTTTCCATCGGTCTGCAGATCACCTAAAAAACGGCGACATCCTTCACCCCAAAAATTAATAAACCATTTATTTTTTGAAATCATGGGTTCCAGCAGTTCTAAAGAGGATAACGATTAAGCCGATACCGTTGCTATTAATGGTTGCATACAACCCACGGACTGGGGAACGGTGGAAGAGCACTTAACATCCGGCAATTTAAAACCGTTCGACCTCCTCCAATGTAACGCCGGTTCTTTTTTTGGCACGCATTATCTCATGTATCTCGGTGAAGGGAAAGTGTCAAATGTGGTCTTCTCCAAAACGAAGATGACCGGCGTCTTGAGACTTGAATTGTTACATAAAGCGGTTTCAGATGGGAGGAAAATTCGTGTCAACAACCTCAACGGACCGGCGAAGGAAAGAGGTTTAACCGTTCTGGCGGGTGGAGAAATTTGGAAATTGATTCAGCAAGACTTGGCAGATCTTGCTACTACAAATTCGGATGGGAGTATGACCGCTTTTGTACCATACCACTTGACGCTCGCTAATTGCGAGCATTACGTGACCAAGTGGAGGTATGGGGAAGGGTTTAGCTTACAGGTGAGAAATGAGATTATAAATACATAGCTTGTCTCGTGATTTAAGTGAGAATAGTAAATTTCGAATTAAATTACGTCTCTCACAATGGAGTTCTCACAAGGTTTGACCAAACTAGTGTCAATCGGTTACAAATTTAATTAGGCTGAAATTTGCAAATGGAAACTATCCGAAAATTCTCAAGTTTAGCGGAGATATGTAAATACTTGCATAAAATAAGTAGAAAACGCACCCCCAAGGCTGACAAATTTTTCATTTTCCAAATTTGCTGCGCATTTTTCTCCTCTTTTTATGCAAATATCTCCGGCAAATTTTTATTTTCATCTATTTAAATATATGCGGGGTCAAAAATTTCGATATTACATAAAGTGATACAACGTAGCTCACAATATGTAAATAATTATTTAAATTTGATAATGTTACAGATTTTTTCACAGCTTAAAAAATTACACCATAAATGTGTTTCTGATATTTATATAAAGTCTATTTTACTCCAGTTTGAGATGCCAGACCTTTTTTTCTTTACACTGTACTTATGGAAAAAGTGTCTTAATTTATCATTTCAATTTTAATTTGAAATTTGAGTTTCTCATTCCAGCATTTTAACTTTGCTGACTAATTAATCTGTCTTATTTCACTAGACGAATGCATTGGAGACAAAGCGCATTGGAGAGATTGTGCACAAGGTTGGCCTTGCCATTTACACTTCCAGCTAGCATTATCAGGACGTTAACATGGGTTAACATTCACAAAAAATCATTATTACCACATAGTTTTCCTCAAATCAATTTTAGAAGTTTATTTACTTGAGCTTGTTTCTTGATTACATATAATTTTATTGAAATTAAAAACCTGTAGTATTTCAATAAAAACAAACGAATTCTATCGAAAATTCAGAATCTGTAACTATGTCCTTATTTGCTTGTAGTCGTAAATTTACTTTAATGTGCCCTTGTATGTATGCGGATTTTGAATTTTGGCGTCTCAACGTTCCCCTGTTTCATGGATAATTTCTATGTTTATAATTTTACTATATATACGTACATATGTACATAAATTTAGATTAAAAGTTTATCTTGTACACCAGTAGTATTTATACTACCATTGCTTACTTTCGCCACCGTAATCGATGTCATAATGTTATTAACGTTGGTGATCATGCAAGTGTGTCATAATTATCTAACCGGTTTTCGGTGGTTACTCATGCTCATCCCGTGACCACTCTTCCGTGAGCCCCTTTGATTGTGGGTTGTGATATGTTTGGGGTATAAGTGTACGGGGGTGTGGTGCTGGCGCTATGCGCCGGCGCTCTACCCGGATAATGTATGCTCTATATGTGAAATTAATACTTTATTTAGCATTGAAAAAATTTTCGCAAATGAATACGATATGCATTCAAGGAAGACACAAGTTTAATTTTCACGTTGACCTCAAAGCGGTTAGGATTTAGTATTTGTGATAAATTATGATATGAACTTCACATAATTTACCACAAATATTAAATGCCACCTACTCGACTTTTTTTATTCCAAATTTATTATTGAGGCCAGGGTATGGGGAGCAAATGTACTGTGTTGGAGCCCATGTAAACGGTACAAACTTAAAAAATGTTTGGTTTCTATGTTGTGTACAATGCTTGCACCATTCCTCCACAAATAGGGTTTCGTTATCACCCAGCACAATGGGAATAAGTAGAAATAATAAAAAATACATTTTAAAAATTTGCCAACAATCTGGTGCAGCAACGTTGTGTAACAGAATTCAAAAATGGATTTCCTGATTTTAAAAACCAAAGGTGTCTGTCGAATCGTAAAACAATTTGATCGTTAATTTCGGGCGATGGTCCAAACCGCTCCACGATTTCTTCAAGACTAAACCCACTTGCACGGTTAACCAAGAAATATATAACGTACCGATCGTAATAATTACCCGTCATCGCTTGCAAGCTCTTTGTATTACTGTGACGAGTTTCATATGGGAATTTATAGCCATATGCTGTGTAAGGCTTCCCATAACTGCACCTTAAGATAGTTTGATAAATATTCAATTACTAGATTAAAATTATTTTCTATGAATACATTTACACAAGTATTTACCAAAAGTCCGTGTCCATCAGTATATGTATAAATACCAGTCCAATGCTGCCCTCTTTTAAAGCTATAATAAAATAATGCACGTTATATTGCCTTCCTCCAAATAATTTGGCATGTATGCAGACAGTGAATACTCTACCTGGGATCTGTATTTATACAAATGGCTGATGGAGTTTGCTCAAAATTAATTCGAGTTATGCCATCCGACGGAATGACATCGAAATTTTCAATATTTGTAGGCTGTAGAAGGAACTTGAGGCAACATTTTATAGTTTACGAATCCATGATTAAATTATTGAGTGGTCCGTGTAAATATTCCGTTGCTCATCTATTTGAATTAATCCTGCAGCACAAAATATTATAAGTAACGGGCTTTATAAATGCGTAAAATGTTTGTGATTTTCCTACACAGAATAGCTGGACCGCTTCCGACAGGGGTTTGCTAAATGTACATAGTCCGACCATAAGTTCCCGTGAATGCATTTCCGGTGATAAAGCCCAAAGTATTAGAGCTATCTGATAGAAATTTTTGTGGATGAACAAGGTATTATGGTGAAAATTTTAAAAGAAGAAACCAATTCTTGCTGAAATGTGAATTGGCCGATTTGCCAAAACTCGTTATGGAAAAACTTCAAAACCTTGCCAATTATCCAATTTTCAACCGATTTTCGATTTTCTAAATGTTTCGGAAACCTCTGACCGTGGGGCAAATTATACGTTCCCAAATTTTGAAAATTTTGACCCCACCCACTCTAATTCAGGTCACAAGGTCATAAAAACGAGGTAAATATTTATGTACTCCCTGGCGACCCCAAAAAATATTTTGATTACACAACTGCCACTTATTGTCTTGGTTACCCGTTGGCCGTCTAGGTCATTGCAAAAACTTTCAAGACCACACCCCCAGTGGGTGTGGCTTTCTGCGCTTTCGACCAGTTTTTGATAAAGTGGGTCTTGTGACATATCATTTTTGTCAGAAAAGTCAGGGCACTCTATTCGAGATATAAAAGTTTAAAAAACCACTCCCCCAGTGGGTGTGGCTTTCGGCGCTTTTGGCTAGTTTTAGAGAAAGTGGGTCGTGTGACATATCATTTTTCTCAGCTTGGCGAAGAGATTACGACTGAATAAGAAAATTTTGCGACCACACCCCTCAGTGGGCGTGGTCTCGGCGCATTTCCAATTTAATCGAAACCATGTCATGTGATATGTCATTTTGCTGAGCTCGACGGGGAGATCCAGATTAATGTATTAGAAAATTTAAACCACACCCCCAGTGGGTGTGACCCTCTGCGTCTTTTCGATTTTATCCAAAACATGGGTTGTAACACATCATTTTTCTCAGTTCTACGAAGGGATCATCATTGAATAATTATAATTTGAAACCACACCCCCAGTGGGCGTGGTCATTTTTGACTTTTCGAACTAAATTAAACCATGTCATGTGATATATCATTTTTCTAATATCGATGAGAGGATCTCAACCGAATTATTGAAATTTAGGAACCTCATCCCCAGTGGGTGTGGTTAATAGCGAATTTTCGAATTTTCCTAACAAGGGACACTCACGACCTGTCGTTCGTGTCCAGGGTAGCCACTATGTTTTTTAGAATCTGCTAGGACCCTAAATGAAGGATCCATTCTTATTTCCGTGTAAAACTCATATTTGGCGCCGTGGCGTGGCGCCAAACTTAAAAATCTGCGTTTTCGACCAATTTCAAACCCCCATAACTTTTGCATTTTCGGGGGGATTTTCAAAATTTTATGCTTAAAATGATCACAAAGGTATAAATTAAGGGTATGAATATATAATTTGCCCCACGGTCAGAGGTTTCCGAAACATTTAGAAAATCGAAAATCGGTTGAAAATTGGATAATTGGCAGGGTTTTGAAGTTTTTCCATAACGAGTTTTGGCTAATCGGCCAATTCACCTCTCAGCAAAGCTAGGATAGTAAAGGTTTCTTCATTTAAAATTTCAACCATAATGTTGTTTAGAAATCATAACTTCGTTTTCACAATTTCCTCCACGGGCTTGTACACAAGACATAAGTCGTGGCGAAAACTGCTCGATCGCGGCACGCACGGATTTCCTGGGAAAAGCGCCAGATCTTCAGTAAGTGCGACCTCAGCCCTTCCACACTTGGGTGAAATTTAGAGCATACTTGTACCTATAATTTTCACCACCAGTCATAATTTAGGGGATTAAGGTCTGCAGATACTGAGCACCGTTCTACGGATGAAAAAAAGTCATGAAAATTCGTCTGAAGCCAGTTTTGGACAATTTTGCACCTTGCGCAGGAACGGGGTCTTGTTGAAAGGTCCAATGTCGATTTTCGGAGGGTCCAGGGTTCAGGTTATTAACGTTTGGCTTTAGGACACTCTGAAAATAATTCTTGGCTTCAACTTGTACCCTTTGCGGTAAAAAACAGAGATTTCATTTCTCCAGCCAACTTGCTACCATGCACACCACGGTGATGGCTTCGTATTGACTTCCGCATACTTAAACGGATGTCAGACTTCTGTACAACAAATATCTGGCCTTGTTTTCTATTAAATTTTTTGCCAACGGTGAAAAGTCTGAAATACTTTTGGCACGAAAATTGGCGCGTACCACGATCAACCTGTGGCCGTCACAAGTTATGTCTTGTCTAATTGCCCGTGGACGAAATCTTGACAAAGAAGTTATGATTTCTAAACAATATTAATACCTTGTTAATCCATAAAAATTTCGAACAGATAGCTCTAATACTTTGGGATTTATTACCGGAAATGCATTCACGAGAACTTATGACCCCACTATGTAATCTCAAGTTTCAATTGTCCATTTACTTCTCGACTGAAACCACCTGATCCCGTCGGAGTCAATTGATAGACTAGCATGAAACAATTCTCCACCATGCAAAGACAGGTCATACAGCAGGGTGAATCGATGTGCGGTTGTCGTAGTCTTCCTACTGAAATGTTCACAATAAATTCAAAATGATAAATACATCACATTCGAATTATTTATTTTTGTATCGTTGAGTTAATCAAAGTCCCATTGTGGTTGAAAACTCGCAGTTGCTCCAGCCGCAAACTATTTTTCTCCCCATCCTTCTTGCAGCGGTACGATCCGCAATGCGGATCGCACTAATATTTGGAGGCGGATACATTTTAGCAACGTTGGAAATTGCACTGAGCTTCACCACATAACTCCAAGTCCGATTAAAACGTCGCACAAAAGCGCTAGAATTACGTATTTTTGGGATATTTGGTTGATTTAAAATAAACAGGACGAATGATTCGGGCAAGTTGGCCGTTAGTCAAACCTGTAATTATTTGTACAATTCCTCACAAAATTCAAGTGAATAATATCATTAATCACTACTATTTATTTTTGATCAGTGCTAATAAACATTACCAGCGTTCACAGAAATATTGGTGATGATTTGAACTTTTGCACCCTCGTAAATGAGTAAATCGTTTTCACTTGAAGGTGCGTTCACGGGCGAGAGCCGCAGGACCGGAACTTGTAATTTTCTAATTACATCACGTGCATTTGTAGGAAAAATCTAGATTAATTCTCAATTATTGGAACTGAAACAAGCCAAAAGTTGTGACAACTAACCACAGGTGCGTCAGCAAAACGCTCTTTCTCCTGGGGGGTAGCCAACTTAATGCAGCGAGTCGCCAAAGCAGCTCCGTCCTCAAGCCACCCGAAAGAACAAAATGTGATGAGTTCATCTCCCGCGCAAACAGACGACTGACCATAATGACATGTACCTGACTTTGTGATTCCTGTGTTCTTCCCAAACTCATCAT